GTTCTTCTTTCGAAAGAAACAATTTTAATATCCTAGCGTTAATAGTTTTCGTTTTATTGGCAAATCAAAAGGGTCAGTTACTCCCGGGACGCCCTGTACAAATAGGGAACTCAAAGGTAATTTGCCTACATATCCTTCAATATACTGATACTGATAGGTAAAGAATAGGAGCCGTGCCGGAACTGACCCCCATTGTATTACTCTTTTACCAGGAGCCCATACTGAAAACCAGCCAACTACCGCTACTAAATATTGAATCCAGTTCAAGAGATCCCGAAGTATGAAAAAAACCTATCCCTTGATGAATTTAAAGTTTATAAGGTTTGCTGGGTGTCCTTCATGCCTTTGGCGTAAAAGGCTTCTTAAGACAGCACCTCATTTAACAAAAACCGCATACACAGCGGAAGGCCGGCTGCGCATCTCCGCGAAAGTATTCGGAACCATAGTTGTTAGCGCGAAGGAGATAGAACTCGAATTGCATTGCCAGTAAATAAACCGACCAATGCTTACGAGAGCCGGTTCAGGTGCTGTTTGTTGGGTTAATCTGGGATTAACTTACATTTGACACTCTCACAGCCTGTATAATGCACAAAGGCTAATTCTAACACTGCTGAACGTGTCTCTAATCTAGATGTCATATCCACGAGTTTGCACGCATTTTCGCAGCTTAAAGAGTTACGATGTGATTCACTGAAGGAATTAAATTCAAAATATCGTACCCCGCCCTTTCTATTTTTTGACAAGAATTTAAATGAAACACACGAAACGACATCCCTGAGGCATCGTGCAACACCCTACGGCCAGTCCCCTTTGCTACGGGAGATGCGATTGTGATTAAGTAAATAATTAATTAATTAACCTGTCGAGGAACGCCAGCATCTGTTTTATTTTCCTTGATGAAGGTTCACTAATCGCTACCGCTAATTAAATGCATTTGAGGTAAAGACGGTGACTGAGGTAAAGGGACTGCCTGGGATGGCGAAAAGTTTTGGTGAATGTAAAACCATTTGCGGCCCCTCTGTTGGACCTGCCAACGCGATCACTTTTTGAATAAATATTACAACAAAATTATATCCTTTCCTCTTTCAGTCATTTCACCCGGTCTAGGTTTTGTTTTAGATAGCAGCGATGGCTGTGGGGCCTTGCAGATAACCTGGTGACTGAGATAGTTGTAGGCCATATATGACCGCCGTTTTGCGCTTAAAGCTATCACACCAAGCTTTAGTCTCTAGCCATGGAAATGATTGAAAATGCGCCCGCCAGATACACAGTGACGGAGGCCGGACACAGTTCGTAGAAATGACCTGCCTATTTTTCACCTTTAAGATAAATGTACGAGTAATCTGCTGACATCTTTTTTGTTTGCAACGTCGTGAATGTAAAACTGTTAGGGAGTCAGCACTGGAAGTTATATTTGATAGGAGACTGGTTTGACAAGCAGCACCGATTAGACTTTGGACGTGTGTTTCAATGCAGCTCTGGTGATCTAGTTCCGAGTCCTCATGGGTGATTGCGCTAGTTCGACCCGTCCCGTAGCCGGTTTCAAGACAAAAGTAAAGACCGGCGTTGCGCGGCCGAGGCCGCCCTTATGCGTGCCACCATGATCAAATACAGACACTCAGTAGTACTGTCCGCACATACATACTGATGGGACCGACAAAAGCTATAGCCCCGAAACACAAACACACACAGAAGCACACAACAGTCAGACCGCCGCTCTCGACGACGT